TCCTATTTTTTTAACTCGCATCCAAGCCGTTCTTTTGGGAGAGCGTTGCGTGACATCCAAAAAACGGCTGCGAGGAAGACTACTTCAGACGCCACTTTAGTCTGGGATTTTTTTAAGGTTTTCTAACCTTTTGAGACTTTTAAAAAGACTATTTGCATAGAAAACGGTCTGAATGGGTCTCGTACAGTTGCTACTCTGAATGGATGGGCTTGAAAGACTTTGCATATGACTTATTATTTAGTTTTTCTTTTCTATGGATTTAAATAACCCCAACTATATCTAAGGCTTAATCAAACGCCAATCAGAGGCAAGTTTCTCTCTCCTTGTCACTCCGTTGCATGAAATATCAAGAGGACAAATAAATTGCCATTTAAACAGCTACTTTATTGTCAAAACATCCCAGTGAGTGTAGAAAACTCAATGCGCTTTAAGAAAGTAATGGTAAGTAACACTCGTTATGTCAGATTTTTATTGCTGGTGGTTTTCTCATAGATCATCCATAGTTTGTAGTTTTGTAGCATGCTATGGTGATGATGTCCAGGTATATATATATAAGTTATCAGTTTTACCATAGTTAGTCTACTAACTATGGTTTTAACCTCGGCAGAACACAATTAAATAATGTGAAAGACGTAAAGTTGATCTACCATCAGCTAGACTAAACTTACAACATCTGAACAGTGCGAGCAAAGAAAGAATATAAAAAAAAATTAATGTACTCGTTTCGTGTAATTACCGTGTTTAGACTTGAGCGTGCTACCGAGGTATTAGAGTTAACTTACCTATGTAAATATTTTTCGTGTGTAAACGCCAACTGATACCCCGATAAACACCGCTCAAGACAATAGAAAGTTAACTAAGGTAAAAGTTCGGTTTACCCATAGTTAGTTACCCTCTACTAACTATGGTTTACCCTGCGAGCAGGTATGGTTAAGGTCAGTAAGCAAGGTTTGGATGACAGATACATCCGCTTGCGGTCGCATAGAATTTCACATCCTGCGATGTCGGCATTGCGCCAGTCTCATTCGATCACGTTTTCGAGACCACGTTTTCGTGTTTGGTTTCAGTCTACGAAGAAGTTATGGCAAGAAACAAAGACACAAATCATTACGAAAGTACTCCTTCCATCATTCTTCAACAAGAACAAGAAAATAAAACGCGAGGACTACAAGAACCACAGCTTCTCTTTTAAACGCGAGCATTTTATGCGTGGATTTAGAATTTTCCGCCAATTCGATTAGATTGTGATTGATGACAGATTTACCTTAGTTATTTGAGCCAGTATAAACACTATACAAATGTAACAAGGTTTAGTCAGTTAATGTTTATACCTTGGTAAACGCTTGAGTGTAAACTCGGGGTTATAGTTGCTTGATACAGGGTCTCACTAAAAATCAATTTATTTAGCGTTCATTATCAGGAATTGCTTTCTAAGACCACACGAGGACAGGCCAACCATTGGTACGTAGGCTCAATTGCATAAATCCCTGCTACAGCAGGAGATCTGGCACTCAATGAATTTCTTCTCGTTGCAGATTGAAGTGGTGCCGTTGCACATTCTTTTGAAACCACAACCTTTGTCATACTTATTGGTATACTTTGTCCTCCCGTGAAACGAGGCGCATGTATCCTGACTGGATTGACAGATCTGCACTCTCTGGTATTTCTTACATTCAAACCAACCCCTGTCGGAAGAGCATGTGTGACAGTTGAGGCCATATCCTGTTAAAGACAATTAAACAATACAGTGGAAGGATGAAGTAGAATCTGACACATTTGGCAAAATAAATGAATGCACTAATAAAGAAAATATATATTGTGAAATATGGTCTCAAAAAAGGAACAGATAACTCAACTGTCAAAATACCCCCGTGCGCGTACTCACATCAGTCTCACAAGACGGAAAATGAGAGCAGCGTTACCACTGAGTGATAACTTCAGTATTTGTATTTAACTCAGTTTTTTCCAATTTTAAATAACATAAAAAAAATACGACAATATTACTGAATAAAACTATCTAAAAGCTGATTACTATCTAGATTGCAAGCATTCAGATTTACAGAAGCAAGCGGTTTACGCATGACCTTGCACACGCCACAACGTGCAGCTCCCATACGGGGATTTTGGTCTAGTGTTTTTTAGACAGTGGAGCCCTGCCAACTCGAGCTCGGTTAATGATTTGCTTAACCCATCTTTTTGTCAATCAATATACGCTGACTCGAAGCATTTTTCAGTTCTTTTTGGCTGTTCGATTTAGCGGGGTCCTACTGTAAAAGGGTGAGGCTCGTGCGGGTCTTATGATAAACAACCGTCCGAGATTAGTTAGTCGGAACTGAATTAGATCACAGGACGAGCGCGAGCGTCTGAAAAACATGAATTTCTCGATTAAGTTCACAACTTCATGTAAACGATCATCTAATTGTTGTAAAGAAATAAGTGAAAAGTTGTTTAGCTCAGGGTAACTCGGGGAAGGGTAGTCTCGGTACACTGGACTATATAAATACCTAGGGCCTTATTAGTTTAAACAAAGTTTA